AACTTCAGACGGGCATGTATATGTGCTTTCTTGAGCAGGGGGACCTTGCGGGCGCTGCAGGATTTCAGTCCTTCACGGCGTAGTGTGTTACCAATTGTTTTCTTGGTGACTATGGTCCCAGCTGCCTTGAGACCATTGACACGATCCTCCCGTGTAGTTCTGGGCTGATTCCTCACCGTTCTCATGATCATTGCAACTCCACGAGGTGAGATCTTGCATGGAGCCCCAGGCCGAGGGAGATTGACCGTTCTTTTGTGTTTCTTCCATTTGCGAATAATCACACCAACTGTTGTCACCTTCTCACCAAGCTGCTTGGCAATGGTCTTGTAGCCCATTCCAGCCTTGTGTAGGTCTACAATCTTGTCCCTGACATCCTTGGAGAGCTCTTTGGTCTTGGTCATGGTGGAGAGTTTGGAATCTGATTGATTGATTGCTTCTGTGGACAGGTGTCTTTTATACAGGTAACAAGCTGAGATTAGGAGCACTCCCTTTAAGAGTGTGCTTCTGATCTCAGCTCGTTACCTGTATAAAAGACACCTGGGAGCCAGAAATATTTTTGATTGAGAGGGGGTCAAATACTCATTTCCCTCATTAAAATGCAAATCAATTTATAACATTTTTGACATGCGTTTTTTCGGATTTTTGTTGTTGTTATTCTGTCTCTCACTGTTCAAATAAACCTACCATTAAAATTATAGACTGATAATTTCTTAGTCAGTGGGCAAACGTACAAAATCAGCAGGGGATCAAATACTTTTTTCCCTCACTGTATGCCTAAGAAGGCAAAAAAACACACTTAGGCAGCGATGGCCCCTTTAACAATTCCCTTTTAAAATGCTAATCAGCCGGCGATGTCGTTTGTCGGAAGGCCTTTCAGCAAAGCGCGGGTGTCCATAGGGGGGGCAGGGCTGTGTTGAGACCACAGGATTTATGGCTCTTTCTTCCCTCAAATGTTGAGTCCGTACCAAGTGTTATTTTCCTAATTGCTTATGCCTCAAGAGTACAAAAAATGGCTCTTATTATTCCCCACAAACTTTGTTCTTGTGACCAGGCCACAAAAGCAAAGTTAATAATCCACTCCATTAATAAGTGTAACAATTTTTTATTTTTTCGTTTCGTGGGTAGTAAGTGTTATTTTTCCTAATTGCTTATGCCTAAAAAGTACAGAAAACAGATATTATTCCCCACAAACTTTGCTTTTGTGACCAGGACAGTGATATTTTTACAATTGCCTATTTTCAATGAGAAAACGTGGTGTGCATTTGTGTCATTCCTTCACATAAAGTCCTGGTCACAAAAGCAAAGTTTGTGGGGAATAATAATAATAATAGCCATTTTCTATACTGTTGAGGCATAAGCAATTAGAAAATAACACTTACTACCCAGGAACAAAAAAATTGTGTTATTAAACACCCAGAGGGGTGGTGGTGATGGGGTGTGCTGGGGGTGATGGGGTGTGCTGGTGGTGATGGGGTGTGCTGGTGGCGATGGGGTTTGCTGGTGGTGATGGGGTGTGCTGGTGGTGATGGGGTTTGCTGGTGGTGATGGGGTTTGCTGGTGGTGATGGGGTGTGCTGGTGGTGATGGGGTGTGCTGGTGGTGATGGGGTGTGCTGGTGGTGATGGGGTTTGCTGGAGGTGATGGGGTGTGCTGGTGATGATGGGGTTTGCTGGTGGCGATGGGGTTTGCTGGGGGTGATGGGGTGTGCTGGTGGTGATGGGGTGTGCTGGTGGTGATGGGGTGTGCTGGGGGTGATGGGGTGTGCTGGTGGTGATGGGGTGTGCTGGTGGTGATGGGGTGTGCTGGTGGCGATGGGGTTTGCTGGTGGTGATGGGGTGTGCTGGTGGTGATGGGGTTTGCTGGTGGTGATGGGGTTTGCTGGTGGTGATGGGGTGTGCTGGTGGTGATGGGGTGTGCTGGTGGTGATGGGGTGTGCTGGTGGTGATGGGGTTTGCTGGAGGTGATGGGGTGTGCTGGTGATGATGGGGTTTGCTGGTGGCGATGGGGTTTGCTGGGGGTGATGGGGTGTGCTGGTGGTGATGGGGTGTGCTGGTGGTGATGGGGTGTGCTGGTGGTGATGGGGTGTGCTGGTGGTGATGGGGTTTGCTGGTGGTGATGGGGTTTGCTGGAGGTGATGGGGTGTGCTGGTGATGATGGGGTTTGCTGGTGGCGATGGGGTTTGCTGGGGGTGATGGGGTGTGCTGGTGGTGATGGGATTTGCTGGTGGTGATGGGGTTTGCTGGTGGCGATGGGGTTTGCTGGGGGTGATGGGGTGTGCTGGTGGTGATGGGATTTGCTGGTGGTGATGGGGTGTGCTGGTGGTGATGGGGTGTGCTGGTGGTGATGGGGTGTGCTGGTGGTGATGGGATTTGCTGGTGGTGATGGGGTGTGCTGGTGGTGATGGGATTTGCTGGTGGTGATGGGGTGTGCTGGTGGTGATGGGGTGTGCTGGTGGTGATGGGGTGTGCTGGTGGTGATGGGATTTGCTGGTGGTGATGGGGTGTGCTGGTGGTGATGGGATTTGCTGGTGGTGATGGGGTGTGCTGGTGGTGATGGGGTTTGCTGGTGGTGATGGGGTTTGCTGGAGGTGATGGGGTGTGCTGGTGATGATGGGGTGTGCTGGTGGTGATGGGGTTTGCTGGTGGTGATGGGGTTTGTTGGTGGTGATTGGGTTTGTTGGTGATGATGGGGTTTGCTGGTGGTGATGGGGTTTGCTGGTGGTGATGGGGTGTGCTGGTGGTGATGGGGTTTGCTGGTGGTGATGGGGTTTGCTGGAGGTGATGGGGTGTGCTGGTGATGATGGGGTTTGCTGGTGGCGATGGGGTTTGCTGGGGGTGATGGGGTGTGCTGGTGGTGATGGGATTTGCTGGTGGTGATGGGGTTTGCTGGTGGCGATGGGGTTTGCTGGGGGTGATGGGGTGTGCTGGTGGTGATGGGATTTGCTGGTGGTGATGGGGTGTGCTGGTGGTGATGGGGTGTGCTGGTGGTGATGGGGTGTGCTGGTGGTGATGGGATTTGCTGGTGGTGATGGGGTGTGCTGGTGGTGATGGGATTTGCTGGTGGTGATGGGGTGTGCTGGTGGTGATGGGGTGTGCTGGTGGTGATGGGGTGTGCTGGTGGTGATGGGATTTGCTGGTGGTGATGGGGTGTGCTGGTGGTGATGGGGTTTGCTGGTGGTGATGGGGTTTGCTGGAGGTGATGGGGTGTGCTGGTGATGATGGGGTGTGCTGGTGGTGATGGGGTTTGCTGGTGGTGATGGGGTTTGTTGGTGGTGATTGGGTTTGTTGGTGATGATGGGGTTTGCTGGTGGTGATGGGGTTTGCTGGTGGTGATGGGGTTTGCTGGTGGTGATGGGGTGTGCTGGTGGTGATGGGGTGTGCTGGTGGTGATGGGGTGTTCTGGTGGTGATGGGGTTTGCTGGTGGTGATGGGGTTTGCTGGTGGTGATTGGGTTTGCTGGTGGTGATGGGGTGTGTTGGTGGTGATGGGGTTTGCTGGTGGTGATGATGGGGTTTGCTGGTGGTGATGATGGGGTTTGCTGCTGGTGATGGGGTGTGCTGGTGGTGATGGGGTTTGTTGGTGGTGATGGGGTTTGCTGGTGGTGATGGGGTTTGCTGCTGGTGATGGGGTTTGCTGGTGGTGATGATGGGGTTTGTTGGTGGTGATGGGGTGTGCTGGTGGTGATGGGGTGTGCTGGGGGTGATGGGGTGTGCTGGTGGTGATGGGGTTTGCTGGTGGTGATGGGGTTTGCTGCTGGTGATGGGGTTTGCTGGTGGTGATGGGGTTTGCTGGTGGTGATGATGGGGTTTGCTGGTGGTGATGGGGTTTGTTGGTGGTGATGGGGTGTGCTGGTGGTGATGAGGTTTGCTGGTGGTGATGGGGTGTGCTGGTGGTGATGGGGTTTGCTGGCTACCGCTGTGAGACGCTCCGAGAGCCCTGAGCGCCCCACGCTGGTAATTTCGAGCACATTCAGGCGTCGGTGGGAGACTGATTGGGGGGGGGAGGGGTCGCCAACCTCTGGAGGGTTCAAAAGGACAGACACCACACATCGACGGGAAGAAGAAGTAGAAGATGTGGCTCGCAACGCTTGCAGAGGCGGGGAGATGGCGTGTCTTTGAAGAATGTCCGGCAGTCTCAAGCTCTGACTTAAAACTTTCGTGACTGCAGGAATTCATATTCTTGGTTCTTTCGGTAAAGTCACGTAGATAGAAAATAACAATAAAGTAAATTAAAAATAAAAGCAAAAAAACCTGGCTGGCAGGGGTTTTGTTTTGCTGTTATGTTTAATTTCTTTTTAATTTTATTTATATTTTCTATCTGGCTGGCAGGGTTTTTTTTTGCTTTTATTTTTAATTTCTGTTATTTTCTATCTGCGTCACTTTACCGAAAGAACCAATAATATAGTCTCAAGCTCTTTATATTGTATTAAAAGTCACTTGCACGACATCTGCATTTGTTACGGCTCTGGAGAGCATTCTACGCGAGCCGGCGGTGTGCACAATCTTATAAGCAATTTATTGACGTAAGTGTTTGACTGCCCGTGATATTTATTGTATAAATACATTGTACTGTTCCAATGCTGGATTATAATTTTCCGCCTGAGGAGGACCGCTTGTGTTGCGATCGAAACGTCGTGACTTATTTTATTTTCTACCTACGTGACTTTACCGAAAGAACCAAAGAGTATGGATTCCTGCAGTCACGAAAGCTCCAAATCAATATTGTATAGGGTATATATTTAAAATTGCTGTTAAGTGTGAGGATGCGGTGGCTACATATGCTAAGTAGGCATCCGTCCGTCAGTCATCTCAGTCGGTCAACCCATAACACCTGGGTCTGGCCCGTGCCCTCCTGCCAGCAAGCCTTCGATACTTGACGTGGCCTCGAGGTGCACCTAGCCTGGCACAAGCGCTGTGGTGATGTCACCTTCACTTAGTGGCGAACGGCGATTGTTATTGTTGTTGATATGCGACAATCGAAGAACTGGATGCCAATGCAAATGAGATGTTTCATCATCAAGGGAGATTTTCCAGGTGAAATATTTTTATGCAAAAAATATATATACAGTACATACATCATCATGCAAATGATTAAAAAAAACCCAGCACTTGTCATGTCGCTGCAAGACTTATGATTAATTTCAACTGTAAAAGTTCGCAACACCGTTCTGGGAATTAAATGACATGTCACATCCATGTTTCCATATTTTCATGTCAGTTTTAATAAACCTGTTCAAAGGATTATAGGAATATAGGGTACAGTCATATAGGATTATTATGGATAGGTGTACCTTGTTCTCGAGTTGTAATGCCTTATGCCAATAGTCTCGACTCCAAGCAAGCCTAGCAGAGCTTTCTGGAATATAATGCGTGAGAAATTAAGACCCAGGTTAAAGATTTTTCCTGGGAAACTACATCAACAAGACAACGGACCTGGGAAAAAAAAACAGGGCCGGTGGCCTGAGTTGGAATGCCTGAGTGAGGTCTGTGGGGAGGCAAACGAAGGTCGGTTGACACCGGAACAAAAATATTCATGAGATTATACAAGACGATCCATTTATAGATACCCCACCAACGTGACCGGGATAAGTTACTGCACAGGGAAAACAACATTTTATTTCAAATCCTCTACACGCCTCCCGTCGATGTCAATACGACTTATTAAATCTATCAATGCTCTCCTATGTACAACGCGAGAGCCATCACTTTCCTTTCACAGCATTCAATCAGCTGTTGAGAATCAGTGGGGTATCTATACATGGATCACGCTGTGCCATAAATGCATTTTTTTAATATTTCCACAAATTTGCATTCCAATAGCGTGCTGCAAATATATATTGTAAATATTTCTTTCTCAGGATCATAACGGAAAGAGACTAGGGCTGGTAAATGACAACCGCTGAACCGGTAACCGTTCTCATTATCGGTTACCAGCTCCGGTAACCGTTTCCCGTGGAGTTTTAGTTGTGAATTTCACCGACTGGCGCCGTGCGCACGCCAACGTACAAAAACGGCACGGCCGCCCACGTCACTGGTCACGTGGTACGTTTGCCCTCGTCTCTCATTTAAAGGCACAGCCCCGCAATTCCTCGCTTTACGCCACTGTTGGGACGGAACGGGAGCTCTGGGGGCGGGGGGTTGGGTCTCCTCTTCCACGCTGATCAGACATTTTTTTAAAGAGGTGTGAGTACCCACACTTTACCCCACCACATGAAAGCTGCCGATCGACTTTGGAGAAACCGCTTATACTGCTGGGGCGACAGAGGAGATGGGGGGACTTAAGAAACTCGCCCCTTGGTTTTCACCGCCGAGCCGGGAGATGGAGTTGAACCCGGCGACCTCAGTATTCTAATCTCAGTTCTCGAGTAAGCTTCACTCCACTGGGGCACCCCCCCCCCCCCTCTGTTTCTTAGCTAAAAAGGCACAGCTGTTGTGCTTATTGCTCCAGACATTTGGATTTGCGCAGCAAAGCGTGTTATCTTTGACCTTTCTATGATAACGCAAAAAACCCACGATTTTAAAACCCCCCGAGAGAGACTTCTGAGGGCTGTATCTCTGCTCGGGGTTAACGCGGTAGACGCATTGTTTGGAGCGCAAACAAGAGGCGCTCCCCCTTCCGTGCCATTGTTTTACAAAACCTGGCTTTACCCCGGTCAAAGTCGCCGCCGTGCAAAAGCAAATGTAACTTTCGAGAGCACATTTCAGCTCGAGTGAGAAGTACTGGTTCAACTCGTACCGCTTTAGCGCGCCGCTTTAACATTTGGGTTTTGTCGACAGCTAACGGCGACTGAAAAAGAGTCGCCCTTTAAAGCTGCAAAGCCATACGTGGGGAACGCCGCTCAAATCGCCACAATTAAAATAAGTACACTTACAAAAGCAGCCAAAAGTCGAAGCTATTTTCATTCGTCTAACGTAAGTGAACAGCGACGCAAGTGGTCATGCGTTATTGCGTGAAGCGGTGAGAGACTATAAAACAATCAATCAATGTCAATTGCGGAGACGGTGGGGGGAGAATCTATCCGCAGGGAGAGAATCCTTTTCATCGGCATCTCCGACGACCTCTCCCTGCCGATGGGCCAGCAGTATTCCGGGGAGAGGATCTTGGTCGGCTTGTTGAGGACAAGGTACTTGTTGAGGTGGCTCTCGTCCAAGTGCCGAGCGTCCAGGTCGCTCAGGGAGTCGTGAGCGATGCTCGCCGCGCACGCCTGTGCCAAGGCGAACACGTCCCTGCAGCGGCCGCCGAACAGCTCGGAGGTGAAGTAGAAGTCTCCCTCGTGGCGGCCCACGCGCGCCGCCGAGGCCGACCTCCTCTCGTACGGGAAGAGCCTCCTCGGCTTCGTGAAGAACCCCGGGTGCAGCGTGGCCACCAGGCTCCCGAGCACCTCCGGCCCGACCTCGTCCACGAAGACCAGGTCCACGTCGGCGCAGAAGACGAAGCGCTCCTCGCCCGCGACGAGCTCCTGCACGACGCCGGCCAGCAGCGACATGCGGGCGCGCCGCAGGTGCCGCCCCTCGGGCCGCTCGGCCACGAACAGGGCCTTGAGGCGCCGCCCGGGGGCCGGCACGAAGGCGGGCACGGCCCGCGCGTTGTCGGTGAGGACGTAGTAGGTGATGGCGTGGCCGCGCATGAAGAAGCGCTCGGCCGACTCCAGGAAGTGGCTCAGGTGCTCGACGTAGCCGCCCACGGCGAAGGCGACGAGGCCCACGGACGCGACGACGTCGTCGTCGTCGTCCCCGCGCGAGACGGCGGCGCCGCCGCCGCCGGCGCTCCACACGACGGGGGCGCCCCACCACGTCGCGTTGAGCGGCGGCTGCGCGCGCGGCGCGCCGAGGCCGCCCACGCCCAGCGCCCGGGCACCGCCGACGTGCAGGCGCACGTGCAGGAACTTGAAGAAGTCTGTTGAGGACAACAACAACAACAAAAAAGAATACGTAAAACGTTCTTTTGCTCGCAAGAACGCAGGGATATAATTAGAGGCACGCACGTGTTACGCTGCCGTGGTTGTAACGGTTCGCGCACTGGATTTCCAGGGGTCATCGGTCCAACCAGAGGTCACCGGGTCGGTTTGTTCTCCTGGCGCGGCAGTTGAAGCAAGAGGCAGGGCGCCACAGTGACGAGATGTTAACTACCTCACCTGGTATGCAGGAGGTCGTGGGTTCGATACCGACCCCGACGCCTGCTGTATATTTGGAGTTTGCGTGTCTCTCTCTCTCTCCCCGTGGACGCGTGGATTTTTCTGCGGGTTCTCCGCTTTTTGCCTCCACGTTGAGAGTATTTGGCTGCGAGAAGTAAGCCACTTCGTTGAGCTATCATTTGTGGCCACATCACTTCTGTCCTCGCAGCGGCATCGTACACCGCGTGCAGCACAGTTGTTCGGTAGGCCGGTCGTGAGTAGAAATGTCCTCAAGAGGTGCTCACTGCAGCTCTCCACAGTGGAAGTCCTTCTGCCGGCAGTGGCGTGAGTAAGCCATTGCAGGGCTGTACCTTTAGATTTACCCCTTCATTTATCCGGGCCATCCTCCCCGTCGCGAGACTGTTGGGATGGTACTTTGTGTTGGATGTTGGCCAATTCCCTCCTGTGTGTTTTCTCATGCGGAAGGAAGCTGGAGTGACTGGGGAACATCCATGATCCATTACGGAGGGGTGGTAACAAAACTAAATACGAAGTTTAAACAACAAAAGCAGTAACAACAACACACGGCCACCAAATACAAGAATACCACAGAATGTCAAAGAGCCTCGCAATCATTCCATCGCCCAGCTGAAGTTTCCCAGGGTTTATTTGCCTTGGGGGACCCCCTGACGGCAGCTGTCCCTGTGTGACGTAATGTAACGCAGCACCGGCCTGCAGAGGGCATTAGTCGGTCAGTAGAGGGCGGTGTTGCTTTTGGTTATTCGAATTAAGTTGCAAGAAATGCTTCAAATTAGTAAAAATCGGAATCTTTAATTAGACTGGAGGAATCCGATGAGCTATGAAGCTCTTTTTCACAGATATGGACCGTGACGCTAGCACAGGTGACCCAGTTTTTTTATTGTTAAGGGAGCGTTGGCTAAGGGGCTCAATGCACTGAACTCGCAGTGCTGAAGTTCCTGGGTTGAAATAACGACGGCCAACTGTGATTGCCCCTGGATCTCGTCTCAACCCAGTCATGAATAACTACGCAACAACAACAACAATGATGTTGCAATTATGGAATTGCGCTGAATATGGGTTTGTTCCCGCTCTGAAATATAAAAGCGTTGGTTCCATTGCAATGAAATGAATGTTCTCTGTAGGGTAATGGTATGGGTAAAAAAAAAAAATGATACGAGGTGGTGCACTTGGCACTGCGATCGTTGCTACGGGGAACGTCTTACATACTCTTTGGTTTTATTCGGTAAAGTCACGTAGGTAAAACAAATTAAAATAAATTAATATAAAATAAAATAAACAATTCAAACACGACGTTTCGGAGGCAACGCAAGCTTCCGTCTTCAGCCGGGACCAGTCACAGCAAAATCTTGGTGCATCGATTTTGCTGTGACTGGTCCCACTTGAAGACGGAAGCTTGCGTTGCCTCCGAAACGTGGTGTTTTAATTGTTTATTTTATTTTAATTTGTTTTACCTACGTGACTTTACCGAATAAAACCACAGAGTATGAATCCTTGCAGTCACGAAAGCTTCAAATCTAGTACGTCTTACATCTTGCACGTCACGGCCACCGGCGTGATTGGGATATAATTCTGGGAAAAGGGAAAACGTGGTTAGAAAAAAAAAGTCGTATTCACCGATGACTCATGCTGCTCGCCGTTGAGAATTCCCGCGGAGTGAGAAGAGAGTGCGTGGGGGGTTACTTACAAAACAAGAGGGCGGCGGCAATCACGACCAACGTCAACACGCGCCTCCTGGGCATCCTCGCCTCTTCAGTGGCTGCAGACACCAACACAGTGGCTTCACGTCGTTATCATCATCATTATTTAAACTATTTTAAACATTTGTTTTATTTTACCAGGTAAGGCCCACTGAGCTACGTAGCCCTCTTTCAGAAGCGACCTGGCTGTTACAAATGATAGCTCAACGAAGTGGCTTATCATCACGTGGACATTTATTGCAGCCAAATACTCTTTAAACGCCGTGACGCTGATTCTCGATGTGGAGGGGAAAAACCGGAGGACCCGGAGAGAAATCCACGTGACCACGGGGAGAAAGACACCACAGACTCCAAATATACAGCAGCAGGCGTGAGGGTCGGGATCGAAACCACGACCACCTGTGTATCAGGCGAGGTAGTTAACATCTCATAGCCACCGTGATGATGAGAGAGACACCGCAGACTCCAAATATACGGACGTCAGGGTCGGGATCGAACCCACGACCTCCTTTTTACCAGGCGAGGTAGTTAACATCTCATAGCCACCGTGATGATGAGAGAGAGACACCGCAGACACCAAATATACAGCAGCAGCAGGCGTGAGGGTCGAGATCGAGCCCACGACCTCCTGTGTACCAGGCGAGGTAGTTAACATCTCATAGCCACCGTGATCACCGACAGCCATGATCAATACACTGCTGGTGAGGCCTCCCCATGCCATCGCCATCTCAAGCAGTGACTGCTGCGACGGAACAATCCGCACAGCGCCGCTCGGCCTGCTGTGGCTGCCGCCCGGTTGTTGTTCTGTTGTGGCTGGCTCCCGGTTGTTGTTCTGTTGTGGCTGGCTCCCGGTTGTTGTTTTGTCGTGGCTGCCGCCCGGTTGTTGTTCTATTGTGGCTGCCGCTCGGTTGTTGTTCTGTTGTGGTTGCCCGGTTGTTGTTCTGTTGTGGTTGCCTGGTTGTTCTGTTGTGGTTGCCTGGTTGTTGTTCTTCACCACCAGCTGGCCTTCATCCCTCTCAGCGGTGCTGCTGGGTTATTGGAGGCCCAGATTCAATGGACGTATAGGGATGAAGAGGTATATGGTACTGTTTTGCCAAGAGCCAGAGATGTAGTGGGATGAGAGAAATGTGGACAACAATAGCGATGGTAGTCGAATGAGAGAAGAGAAACGCTGACCGTGCAGATATCGGAGAGATAAATCGGCGTTTTGTGATAAGTTTCGATGTTAATTAGAATTTGAATTTGAGCTGATAGTTGATGCCACCACTTTGTTTCTTCCTATGAATCCAGTACCCATTGCGCTGTATTCGTAGCACGAGCTAACCGCTACACCACCGCTCCCCTACAAAGATAAAGATCCCCCGTATAGCCTTAACAGACTGTAGGGGCAAGTGCTCTTAGCGAGCACCTATGAAGGCCGGAACGGTACACGAGGGGGTGGGTGGCCAGCACCACGCCCGACCGCCTTTGTCTCCCTAGTGGCAATGTTTACACACCGCACCGGGTACTCATTTGAGGCTGAGTCGACCTAGGGGAGGCCCGGGACCAGTTCATATAATCGTCACCGGTGTTGGCCGTGAGCAGGAATCGAACCCGGGTCGCCAGGTTCATAGCGCAGCGCGCTAACCGCTACACTACCGCTCCCCTACACATACGTACAGACACACGTACACACACACACGGTATGCCTCCAAACGAGTCAGTGTCCCTTTAGCTCAAAACAAGCAGTGGGCCGACAGTGCTCCTCTCTACACCTGGTGGTGCTGAGCCAGTGGTGGCAAGAAACCGGCCTCTGCCATAGGACATCCACAGTTGATTTCCTCACAGTTGCGAGATGTTAACTACCTCGCCTGGTCTACAGGAGGTCGTTGGTTTGATTCCGACTCTGACGCCTGCTGCTGCATATTTGGAGTTTGCGGCGTCTCTCTCCCCGTGGTCACGCGGATTTTTCTCCGGGCCCTTCGGTTTTTCCCTCCACGTTTAGAAACATGCACTGTGTTTGACTGCAATAAATTGTCACGTGATAAGCCACTTCGCAGTGCTTATCATTTGTGTTAGCCAGGTCGCTTCTGAAGAGCTCTATGGCTCAGTGGGCCTTACCTGGTAAAATACAAAAATACTTTAAATTTTGATTTAAAGCTTTCATGACTGCAGGGATTCATATTCTTGGTTCTTTTGGTAAAGTCACATAGAAGGGAAACAATAAAATAATAAAAATATAAAAAAATACTTTAGTTTCAGTTGTAAATTGTTTAGTTTAGTTTAAGTAGAAAAAAATGGTTTATCTTTATCTCTTCCAGCCACACAGACTATTACGAAATGCCTACACGACTTGCCGTCCCCTACTGCATGCAACTTGATACGCTTGGGCCAACTTTCAGGAAATACCGCGCGCACGGTTGCGGAAAGAAATTCCTGCCATTCGAAAAAAAATCCAAGATGACAGTGGGTTTTTTTCTTCCTCTTAATTCCAGGGCCAACCTTCGTTTCTACTTTACAGGCGCGTGTCGCGTCAACACTCGGGAAGGGGAAGCCACGGTGCCGTGGCTAGCGTGCCGCGTTTTGAACCCGCGAACCCGCAGTGCGATTCCTGGGCCGCGGCGATACATCGGAACCAGCCCTGGGCCTGCCGACCTTCAAAAGCCCACAGCGTGGTGAAGTATGGCCAAAACTCCCCACCCATGACCAAGAAAGTGTGGGGGGAGGCCGTCATTCAGCGCAAAAGGGCTGTAAATGATTGGGGGAAAAAATGTCTCTCTTAGAGCTCCGCATTTGTGCGGAACTCCAAAAGAAGAAGACGAAGAAGCGAGCTCCTTTGGTCGCCTTCAAAACGAAGCCAAACACCGATCGACTTCTCAAGGGTACAGTGAATTCCTGAGGCCACGGGATGTTTCTGACGTGAAGGAGAATACAAGTTTGTTTTCATGGGCTATTCTCTCTTCTAGTTCGATACACACAGGTTTCCCCCCCTCCAAAGCGGCACGGCGCAGACCATCATTATGGTGAAGTATGGTCAATTAACCCCCCATGTCCCGCACTGTGTGGGGGAGGCCCTCATCCAGCAGTGGACTGACAAAGAGGGCGGTACACAGGCACAGCCCTACGTCTCGTATTATCGTATTAATCATAATACAATTTTTGGGTTATTCATAATAAAGGTTTTTGGGTTAGATCGCGTTATTTATAAATGTGCCGTAACCCTCCACCACCCGACACGGCAAATCAGCAAAAAAAGTGTCACGTTGACAAAAGACAATATAGTTCACTACTTTAGCCCACCGGTGTGTTGTTGAAGAGTGAATCCACAACATTTACAGTTTTTTGAGTACGACGTTTCGCTGGTAATGACATCCAGCATCATCGGGCGAATTGCCCGACGTTTCGCTGGTAATGACATCCAGCATCATCGGGCAATTCGCCAGAATGTTGAAGCCCTCTCCACCTGCTCCCGGTCTTAAATAGAGCAGCAGCAGGGTGACGTCATCATTTCATTCATTCAGGCGCAATGATTTGAGGCGGAGGAGGGGGATTGTAATTATATAATAGATTGGTAATCAGTCAACTGTTATAGTTTTGTTATACTTTTTTTAAATAACATTTTTTTCGTGCTCTACAGGAATTACTTCCAGTGTTTCACAATTGCAGAGCAATGCCCTTGGTTCTCTTGTAGAGCGTACCGCTGCCTCGTAGCACGTTTGTCGACAAAACCTCGTTCAGGAGGTTTCGCGTTAAGCCAAAGATGACGACCAATATGATGATGATGATTTAAACACCTGTTGATAATATTTTTAAAATCTCAAAACATTGGGCATGATGTCGCAGAAACTGCAGCAGGCAACTTCTTGAAATACGAGCTTCTGAGTCGGGATCGGTGGCATCAATTTTCGCTCCGCCATGCGCATACCCGCTCATCTCATTGCGACAAATGCGACATTTTACGACATTCATCCCCGCCACGCTTCAAGCACTATCGATTCCCCTATTACGGTTTATTTTTTGTCGTGGCGAGCAGTTTCTTTCGGAGGCCACGGGAGCGCAAGCAAAGGGTTGCCACTTCACGAGGTGCGGTAAAAAAACAACCGGGACGTATCACGGCGAGCAGAGCGTCCCGCAATACCAGCACGGGGGAGACAAAATGTTCATCGCACCGTCGCAGTGAGGGGGTGTTATTGTCACGCAACTGACACAAAGTCTGGACTTTTAACGTTCCCGGGGAAGATGTTGCAACGCACGTCCCAAGGTGGCTCTCGCGACCGGAAGGGGTGTCCTGGGTGAAAGCTGAACAGGTGGCAAGCCGGAGCGCGGCCACTCGAGAATTTTTTTTTTTTCCCCATTCCCCGTCGCCGGGCAGAGCCGCCAGCCATCGATCCCCATTAATTATTGACGCCTTTTAGGAGCGGCGCAATCGCGGCACGAGAAAGCCGTCGCTCTCGCCGAGAAAGACGTCGCTGCCGCCATCTCAATGCTTCTCGCCGCGGGCGCTCGGGAGGCCGTGAACCCTCTTTACGTGATGAGCGCCACTCCAATTCGCTCGCTTATCTTGTTATTTCGTAGTTTTTTTTTTTACTACTACTCCGGCAAGCTAAGGGCTGACACCGAGACAGTTTTTTATAAGAACACAAAAAGCTCCCCTGGCGTTATACTGAAATTAAATCGGCGAAGTGTGCGGCGCCGCCAACTCCCACATCCGGGCAATGGTGGTGGCTACACTGCTGCCCATCACCCAGCATTGTGGAGGCAGCAGCAGCAAGGGTTGGTGAATCACCGCACAAATATTGTGTAACTCCCTTCCCGTGTGTGCCCAGGAGGTGCTATACCCCTGGCTTGCCAGGATAAGGTGGTACGGCCAGTGGACTAATTGCCATCAGTTTCCATCTGTAGGGGGATAGAGTGTTTCCCCCTCGCGCAAGTAGGTATTCCAGTTTAATCCCACACGTATAAACACTCATCATTACTTGGCTGAAAATATATTTGAATAAAACCCAATGCAGGAGCCTCCAAATGGAGTCCTATGACTCAGTATTGCTTTCCTGTATAGATAAAAAAGTTATTTATTAAT